CCTGCAGTCCATTCAAGGAAGAGGCCCTGGACATTGAGTCAAAGTCATTTGAGCAGAGAGTGGAGGATCAGAGGTGCAAAGAGTGGTCTAGAGGGGTGAGAACATTTGTTCCTTTGGCCTGATTAACTCCTCACCTCCTGGATCAGATGGCAGCTGGAAGAAGCCCAGGTCAAGGCTCTCTTAAAGCATGGAGTCCAGGAAWAGGACCCCTCTTGTTACTAAGGGGTTTTCAGTGCTCCAATCATATCACTGAATTTTAGGCAAAAGTGGCACTTAACCCTTTCAACAACTGGTTTCCTGCACACCATCAACTGAAAGAGTTCTAAGGTGTATCAGATGCCCCAAAGATCTATGTCCTYTCAGTTCTGCTGAATGAAATATTTCCCCCAGTATTCATTGTTCAGTTATATAGAAAATGATTCACCCAACGTTAGGGCAATCAGCCTGTCACGATCACCTTCCAAGGTCATGCAACCTGGCTCCCATTCAAGAGCRTGGACAATCAGTTGCTYTTAYRCTCAGTGTTTGCTATTCCAGTATAGCTACTCCTGGAACATGGGAGAAATATAGCTGTGCAGCCAGGAGGACTCACTTCTCCAGCAATGATGTCTGCAGCTGATTTCATGAGGCTTTAAGAAAGGACCGCCCGTTTCCCGTTCCTATCTGGTAGGTTTGCCCAGCAAACCTTCACTGAAGTGCCAAGTCCTAATGCTTTGTTCTAAAGAATGAATTGACATCCAGTACTACACTTTTCAAAAGTAGAACATCTGTTTTCACAGCTTCATTGTGCACATAAAATTGCCCCTGGGCAAAGCTAGCAGAKGAAGGAAAAGCCAAAGGAGAGCCTTTGGGAGACAGTTAGGACAGTGACTGGTTGCTGGAATATAGCTCTTTACTGAGTAGCATGGCATGTTCATCTTTTGACAAACTTCAACATCCTGGGTACCAATGACCCCTTTGACTTTTTTTCCACCTGAAAATCCTAGATGAGAGCTCATACTTCTCAGTAAAATAGGGGAGGGACCACTTCCCCATCCTCCTGTCAGTCATCACAAGATACCTTCCTGGGGGTTGTTCTGGGTTGGTCCTTCCTCAGCCACTGTTGTTGCAACCCTGTACTTTTCTGACTGTCTGTCAGGAAGGAGACAGGAAATTCTAGTCACCCTCACAGCAGCTGYGCCATTCCCCCTATCCTCTTCCAATGACGTTGGTTGGCTTTGGCGACAGGAGGTCAGGAACTGAGCCATAGTGAAGGTCAGAAAGACAGGTCACTGTTTATGCCGTTGTTGGGCTAGGGATCCTGCTGAGGGCTGTTTGCTTTCTTCCTTTCTATACTGTTTCTCTTTCCGTTCCTCTTTTTATGCTGCACAACCAAAGCATCCTGTTTTCAAAACATGAGACTGTTTTGCCACTGAGGAACTTTTGCTCTGAGGCATTTTGCTGAAGTGTAAGACAATTCTAATTCAGGAGGTGATGAACATTGAAACACAAAATTTAATGAACACATCTAAGAAGGCAATCTGTTTAAGCAGAACAGCTCTAACCCATCTAACTGAACTTGAGCGGCAGGCAGAAGATTCACTAGACATCCCCTCCATCATGAACAACAGTGTCACTGCCTTGTAAACTCCTGCTGACCATATTCCATCTTCTTGTTTTTTTTTTTTTTTKAGAAGATGATCTATATGCAATATTAATGCACCTGGCTACAACTTTCTCTAAACTTTTGAAGTTCCATTTGACCTGTGTATTAAGGGATCAAGAAAACTTGGGTGAAGGAGAAGACTATGGTCTTGTAAGTCACATAATTAGTTCCTTATCTAATTCCCTAGGTTCTGAAGTACACTTGGGAAAGGCAATTGTAATCTCTGAGTCACTCACTCTTCTTCAGACTCTAAAAGGGTTAAAGAAAACAAATAAACAAGCAAAAGGAYAACCCTACCCAGATGAGACAAATATGCAAGACTGTTTGCCTTTCCCACTATAAACAGTTGACTCTCCACCATATGCATGTCGACCAGCACGTATGTCATCTGCACATGCCCCTTCTGTAATGCCTCTGGCTCTCCTATCTGCACCCTAAAGTTCAGACATCACAAACAAAACTCAGTGCTCACTTAGCTGAATCAAAAGCAGGGACAGAGATCCTTAGGTGAATCAGAAGTAGGGGCACAGATTCTTTTTTGCAAAAAATGTAGTGGGTGCTATTAATAAGTGATCATCTATTGAATATTTCCTACTGGTCAGGTTTCTTATGACATGTTTTATTTCAATCTACACAGCAACCTTCATGAGGGAGGTACACCACTTTTATTCCCGTTTTATAGATGAGAAAATCGAGTCTTAGAGCAGTTAAGTAATTCAGTCTCAGTCAAACTGATTACTAAATGGAACGGACAGGATTAGAACCACAATTTTTCAATTCCAAAGCCTGTACTTTTTATAGTCTYCTTCTCTAAAATGCATTCACACTTCCAGTTCTGTAACTCAGATTTGCTGTGGTTCCTTTGTTCAGCGAAAGGAAATGACAAATGTCCAGATAAGCTACAGCTACTTGGTAATATTGTGATAGTGAGGATGATATTTTTAAATGGCAATTTGGATGAAGATCTCAAATAATTCTGACAAAATTTAAAGTTGAATGTGGAATATTATTTTTTATCATAGACAATTCAGTCCCCCCCCAGTATAAATCAATTTTTTTTTGGTGGCCACAAAAACATTCTCATCGTTTTGTTATCATATGTGTTGTGGTTTACATTATACTTGAGCTTTACCCCATATAACTAACGGAATAATTCAGACTAAGAATAGCTAAATGAAAAGAGACTTTTTAGCTAAATAAAAAGAGATATTTTATCAAAAATTGAAATCGACTTCACCTTTTGGGTGGACTTTGTTTATCTGCTGGATAATTGTTTTGCTCTGCAAACTTGCTTTAGAACTTGAAAATTGGTGAAGGACATGGGTCTACTTGAGCTGTGTCATTATTGAGCTTTAGCCCTTTCTTTGGGGTTAGCTCTATTCAACTTTCATTGTTTCCTGCACAGGATACCATAAAGGAGGACTAGAAACCTGGGGGGTTGGAATTCTCACCAGGACCTACACAGCCCCTGGTTTTAAGCTTTATAAAATAATATGCTGAAGATGAAATTATTTTAATTAATTTGAAAGACAGACAATGTCTAATGTCAGCATTCCAGGTACTATTGTTAAAATGCTACGGTGCATCAACACTCAAGTTGAACAATAATGACACTCTGTAGTTTCTCTGTGAGCATTCTTTTTCTCCTTCTGGAATTAGTCACCTGCTTTATCTTGGTGACTCCAGAAGTTCACCATGTCCTCTAAGATGAAACATGCTGGAAAAAATCATCCCCAAATATTGGATCTACATCTTGTACAGGTTTCAAGTATCACGAAATAGAGACAAGAGTATTTGCTAATGCTTCTAAATAGTGTAAGCATGTATGAAAGTCCTTCTATGTAGAATCCCATGTAGTGTGATTTGGAGAAGTTACATAGGTTAGCTCCCTCCTGGGGAAGCAGTTGRTTAGGTTTTATACCAGCCGGAAAGTCCCAGAACTTAGCACTCAACTGAGAGTTTCGAAGTCAGTAAATGGTATTTAAACCTCAAGGGTGCCCTTTTGTTTTTTCCCCCTGCCAAATTGAACTCTGAATTACAATTTCAGAAAGAGACTTATTTTGCCCTTTTATCAACCAATAAACAAATAAACGAGTTCCAGAGTAAGAAAAGCTGCCCCTCACCTCACACCTCCTCTCCTTTTCTCCTTCAGGACCTCCTAAGGCTGCACTGCTTCCTCTGCTCAGAYGTTTTGAGCAGGAGCCAGCCAGCTTCAATCCAAAGATGATTCTTTAACCCCGGGGGGGAGGGACACACATTCACCAGGGCACCTCAGGCTGGCAGGTGTGGAACAGAACCTCTTCCCAATCTCAGAAATGTAAGACAATAACAGAATGCCTCAGGCTAGAATGATTGGGAACTCTAAACTAAACAGTGCTCTTGTGAGGGAATAGGGACAAGGCCTTCCTTTAAAGTGTGATATATCACATATATATATATATATATCACATATACGTGTGTGTATGTGTATATGTGTGTATGTATATATATATATATATATATATGAGCGAGAGAGCACCAGCATTCTCCAAGAGGGTAAAAATACAAACAACAAGCAACAACTCTCACTATATAACCTACATAAATTAGCACCCTAAGTCCAGGTGTTAATTAAACAAATGATATAATGATAGAAAATTAAAGCTTTTCAAAACTACGTTTTGTCTGGAGTTGGTAAATAAATCCATTWTATGGCAGTATGGGTAGACCTTAATTTCAAAGGATTCCACCTTGAAGATCAGCAAACTTTTAAAAAACTCTCTGTCTTTGACAAGAAGGTATATTGTTACTTTTTTATCTTAGGTCACAGTCAGCATCACAAAAGAAACATTAGAATGTCTCCCACTGTCTTTCTTAGAAGGAATTTACCAAATTTAAGGGCAATTCATTGTGTCCCATCGATGTAAGGAGGTTGAATTAATTTACTAATTATATATATATATATATATATATATATATATATATATATATATATATATTTTTTTTTTTTCTTTTTTCACCTTACTGTAGTGCAGCCCTGTGGACTCTGACTCAGATTTTAGTTTTCTGATGATTGTAAAATTTTTAAAAAGGAAGCATTGTCATTTGTATACTAGCTTGGAAGACATATCCTTTGCCTTTAACATATTCTAAACTGCATCAATTAGAGAAGCTTGGTTTCTGGTAATAAAGCTACACTTTTGCTATAGCACGGAGACATAAAGTGTGGTCCTTCGGAACAGTCTCCTGAGAGCTCAGCAGTCTTAACAGTGGCTTGTGCGGTCTGCTACAGGCTGCTGCAGACCCAGGCTCAGGGAGCCAGAGCTCCGGGGGAACAGGTCATACTTTAACATAGAAGATGGTGGTGGTCGCTTACCTTGTTAGAAGCCATCTCACTGACAGAGCGGTAGGTCTGTATGGTCTCTAGCTGGTCTAAGCACCAGTCTAGTTCCTCCAGCGTTTCCATTGCTAATTTTTGATAAGATTCTTCTGCAAACAAACACACAGACATGTAGTTAGGCTGGAGCGGCTGCAGGCTGTCCATAGCAGAGTCAACGCTGCCACTGCTGATCGCCGCGCTGCTGAAGGTGCCCCCTTGCTCCTTCATTATTTGCTTGCGGACTCCTTCCTTCCAGCTCTCTCCACCAGGAGAACAAATCACCGTGGTGCTCTGCCCCAGACGGCTGGTGCCAAGTTCTCAACTCCTGCCCCCCCACCCCCCAGCCCAGCCCCCGCCTGGATGAGGTGTCAGTGATCTACCAAGAAACTTCCTCTGAGGAAGAAGGCGGAGGAACAGTCTCTTACACGCTCATCTGCATACATGTGCCCTAAAACTAAAGGCAGAAGAAGGGAAGACTTTTCTCAGGCTCTCTCTGCCTTAGTCATTCCGGGGCTCTTTAGGGTATGTGAGGTCATTTCTGAGTGTTTGCAGTCACAGAGGAGAAATGAGGAAAGCTTTTCCTCATTTTGCTTTTCTTCTAAATGGAACCGACATTGGAAAGCTGGGGGAGAACCCTTTGACCACTACKTTCAAAGACTGCTGCGACATCGTCATTCATTCTGGGAATGTGTTGGTGTTGGAATAACTGTGGATTCAGCAAACACTGACCTGCACAATAAAGGGGCGGTCGCTGCTCCTGAATCTCACCTTTAACTAAAGGCAAAGTGAGGTCTCCCTGATAAGACTCCAGTCTAGGAGAAACAGTCTGGAGTTTTTACGTGAACACGTTTATTGGCCTGGGAGCCCTGCAGCTCTTGTTATACTAAACAAAGTAAAACTTCCCTCCTGCAAGTGCCAGGGTCACAGGGAAATTCTGAACCGGACTTTCAGGTGGAGCCAGATGTGAACGCTGTAGATTTTCATTTTAATTAAAGCTGGGGGCTCTGATTTGTGGTCGTAGGAAGCGAGAATTTCTGGGAATATTTCTAAGTGTTTCATACAAAAAATACTGTTTTCAAGATCACTTTTGCTGGACAATTAAAACTTTTTTACTAATTCACCGCATGTCATTCCATATCCAAAGATTTGTGGGTCTGAACAAATACTTCAGGTTATTGACTTAAGAAACCTATGTTAATAAACACTAAATTAATTTTATAATCCTAGATGAATTAATGAAGCTACAGGCAGTTATAAAAAGCAGTCAGACTTTCCCACTTGAACATTTTTGAGGGAAGTGACATCCACTTGCCCTGCTGAGCTTTCTGGAATGCACACAATAGGCACTAATAAAATAAGAAATTTATTTTGGAGTCCTAATATAACATTCATTCCGATTTAGAGCACATTTCTTATACAATTATACAGAAATCCTAGTGAGACCACATAGCTTTTTATTTTTATATGAATAATTTTGTGTGTGTGGCACTCCAGTACTTGAGACAGAAAGGGAGTAAACAGAAGTGTAATTCCAAGTGAATGGAATCAATTGGCCACAGATGCACATTTCAAAGAATCCTTTCTTTGTTTATTCCCCTTATACTGGTACACTTCAGGATAAAGAGGGGTTAAAATTCAATATCCTGTATGTCATACTTGAAAAGCCACAAAACCACCAGACGTAACTTCCTCCATTTTTTCACACTCCTCAAAAATGTGTAGACAAGAATTGAGGTGTTTTTAATAAAACGTTTTTAATGGCTTTCTTCTTCTCTTTTGCAATACTGCCTCATCATGAAGATTTTCCTCACTCTATAATGTGTCCCCAAACACCCCCTCGCCTCCTGGGTTTACTTCCAGAAGAGCACTTCTTCCAACGAACCTTACCCAAAGGTAAAGAGCCTTCCCGACCCCATTCCCTCTAACAAAATAAAAAGTGCAACCATCTCCCAATGCCTTGGGCTTTACTGTCTTGTATGCAAAACAACTGTAAGATGATATAGCATGATTCGCCTTCATGAAGAGGAAAAAGGAGAAATCATTCTACTCTAACCACATAGAAAACATAGTAAGTATACCAGCAGAAGCTCTGAAAACAGAGGATCACTCTTCAAAGACATAATGATTAGGTATACCAGCAGCTCATTTGTGGCCATGACAGCATAGGCACATAAGTACTGTGCTTCCAGACTTGGTCCAAAATGAGGTGTGGGACTGGCTGATAGATGCCAAAGAATTTTGCACCATGGCCCTCTATTCTTCAGGTCAACCACAATATTTTTTCAGCAAAAAAATTATTATATTTTGAAGTTATGTAGTTAGACTTGTCACTTTCCAGAGTCTTAATCCACAGTCAAGACTGCCTTATCATTTATCATAGCTGCTCACTAAGGTAKGAGGCACAGGCATAAGATTGGGCTGTGGCTGTGGCTCAGTGGTAGAGCACTCATCTGGCATGTGTGAAGCACTGGGTTYGATCCTCAGCATCAGAAAAAAATAAAATAAAGGTATTGTGTCCACCTACAACTAAAAAAATACATATTTTTAAAAAATGGACTATGTATGAGGTAGGAGAAAGTGACCATTGTAGCTTAGGGCTGGCCTCCATGCTGCAACTGTGCAACTCTGGCACCACACCAGTGTTTGGTCCCCTAGACACCCAGGAAATACTTGGAGAAATGGAAACCAAAGTGCCTGCCCAAGCTGCCTGCCAAGCCTTGGGTATCTGGAGGCAGAACAGCACTTAGGCAATTACTACACAAAAAGCACCAGCTTTGAAGTAACAATCAGAAATATTGACTTTCTCTTCTACCAGTTATTGTATGGTACTACATTTCAACTTCCTACATCTATAAAATATGAAAAAAGAATAATTATCCCATGAAGTTATAAAGGGATTAAATGAGATAAAATATATAAAGTKCCTAGTAGAGTAGCCAGTTCTTAGTAGGTGATCGATACATACAAGTAATTATTAATGATACTCAAAGAAACTCAAAGGCCTAGCACTGAGAGTAAAGAAGAACAGGAAGAGGAATTGGRAGGAAGATAGCAGAGCTGCATATTCAACAAGGGATATTACAGTAAGAACTGCAGCATCATTTGCAGGGCTCAGTGTGCAATTGAAAGTGCAGGGACCCTTGTTCCAAAAGCAGGAAAAAGTGCTGTTAGAGGTACTAGTGATGATGTTTCTTCCTTTCTTCTGTCACGTTGGGGTTCTCTCTACCCCCAAACTTCCAATTTTAAAATACTTTTACACTGGCTGAAAAGTTGCAAAGATAATGCAAAAGGTTTTCCACTTACTCTACATCCTGGTTTATCCATCATTGACATCTCACATCTTATGGTATGCTTGTCACAATTAATGAATGGCTTCATGAGTTTTACTTAATGTCATATTCTTTCAGGCATTGGCATATCGTGAGGTGAGTACAGACACTCCCAGGAGACCAAAGGCTTTGCCTCTTACAACTTAGGGCATACATACATACAGCTTACCAACTACCGGGTACCTCTCTTGCCAGTTGCCAGACTGCTATGCCCCAGCAACAGGTGGGCCCTCCACAGCAGAAAAGTCCTTAAGGTATTATGTGTATCCTTATGAGTACCCCCAAATTCTTTTCTGGGATGTGCTAGTTACCTGAATCAGAGGTAAGCAAAAGGCTTATTCCCACCAAGACATGGTCTCTGTCTACCACATTACAGCCTTACCAGCCCAGGGCAGGAACAACTACAGCCATACCCACACTTTATACTTTGCAAGGCACATGTGACCAAATCAGATCCTCCCTGTACTTGCACCCAGAAACCTGGTGGGGATGGAGAGAAGCAGTGATCATGCATGGAGGCAGGAGGAAGGAGGCTGGAAGACTCTTGTGGTGCCAGGAATCAAAGGAAGAGGATGGTAGAAACCTAAGACTGGGGATGTAGCTTAGTGGTAGAGCGCTTGCTTAGCATTAACAAGGCCCTAGGTTTGACCCTTAGCACTGAAAACAAAACAAAACAAAATAATAACTAGGTGAACCAGCCCAGGGAAGACAGGAAGGTGGCAGGATGTTGGACAGTGTATGAGTCAAGTGTGTGCCATTGGCACACACTCCATTATCTCATCTGATTTCACTTACCAAACACAAGTACAAAAATAAATTAGGAGTTTCAAGATGGCAAACATGGAGTCCTTCTGAACGTGGGATCCTGTGCAACCACACAGGTTGTATGCCCATGGGGCTGGCTCTGTGCTTATGTTACTTAAGATGGTCCAAGAAAAAACGAGCTTAACTCTGTAGAAGTAAGTCTCAAAAGAGTAGCAGTAGCTAATGTAACCATGTATGGTCATTAAATCAACTCTGGTTTCAAATATTTTCAGAGGGAAGGAGCAAGGATAACAACTACCTTTCTTTCCTCCTTTTTTTTTTTTTCTCTTTCTTTCACTCCAACAAGAGTGGCAAAGGAAGAATTTTTTCCTTTTGCAGGCCTGGTAGATATTATATTTGATCCTGAGAAACAGGAAAAGAAAATGGATGAATAATTATATTTACTATCAATCTGGTAATAATACTTGGCATTCAAATAGTTCTTTTCTTTAAGGAGCTCCAGACACACTATTCATTAATCCTTGCAACACCTCTGTGCGTTAGACATGGAAGAGGTGTGATTATATCTGATTTAACTTTAAGGCACAAGTTAAGAGGTCAGAGGTTAAATTGTTAAGAGAAAATAGTCCCTCTAGATTTCCAGCCAGACTGTATCTTGGTTTGTGAAATCGAGGTTTCACTTCAGCACTGAAAAGCACAGGTATTATTGAAAATGCTGCATTTAAAGTTGCATGTCATCTTTTGAGTCTTTTCTAGCTAAAGTTGCATAATTGCTTTCCTAAATGTTGTCAGCTCTTGAGTCTCCTCTTCCCTTTTCTGATCCACTTTATGCAGCCCTCAGGAAAGGGAGGCTGTGCAATATTTACTTGGAAGATCAGGTATAGTTCTCATCTTGCGTCTTGCTTCAGTGGGCAGCCTCAGGAAAATTACTTAAGTAATTTATTTACTTCTAAACTGAGGTGGGAAAACTATTCTAGTCTCATGATGAAAGCAGAGTCACAGGAGAATAGATATAA